ATCGGCTTTTCGATTGCCAATGTTTATCGATCGTTAGCCTATTAATCGGCTTTTCGATTGCCAATGCTTATCGACCGATAGCCTATTAATCGACTTTTAGCTATCGTCGGTTTTCGCTTCTTTACTGTTTTGTTAGTAGCTGACCTCCTGTATGCTGACCTCCCCATATCCTTATGAATTATAATTATAATAATTATTATTGTTTATTATTATTTTTAAAGGAATAAGCACAACACAATGAATAGCGAAAATTTAGCCGGTACTGGGAGCAAATGCGCGCGCGACTAAGCCAGTCCTTACTGAGTGGCAGCCTCAACCACGACCGGACGATAAAGTGTTAAGTAACGCTTTCATTTTTCATGTCGTTAAATTGTACGGAAGAACTGCCATGAGCGGGACACATTTGTTCAGAACAAGATAACAGAAAAAGATAAACTATCTATCTAATTCTAGTTTGGAATATTCGAAAGATCGGTTCACTTTAACAAGGCATAGTGTCAGTGAGTTTCTTCTGCGTTTACTTGAATTATTTTTAATTTTTTTTTTTTTAATGTATTTTGTCATCAATTGGTTGCACTGAATGGTAGTCGTGTTCACTAATGGGACAGTGTTATAAAATAAAGTAATCTTGACATTAATCATATAAGTATTGTTCTTTTATGCATTGTAAGTGTACAGCAAACAGGGTGCCGCAAAAGTTACTCAAAATAGGGAAACGAGGGGTTCCTCAGGCTATTTGAAGTAACTTTTTCCTTAGCGAAAATGCATTCCGCGGCTTTGTTTACGAGTTATTAACGAAAAACAGCGACCAATGAGAGGCGAGATCGGTTGGCGCGAGGCGTCCCAGCCAACCAGCGGTCGAAGCCCAGTTCCGCTCATTGGCTCGGCCGCCTCGCGCCAGCTGATCACGCTTTTCATTGGTCAGTGTTTTTCATTAATAACTAGTAAACGAAGCCGCGGATTGAATTTTCACTAAGGAAAAAGTTACTTGAAATGACCTCGGGGATCACCTCTTGTCAGCTGTTAACATGATTATAGGACATCCTGTATGTAGGTGGCTCGTCGTCACGGTAACATAACCTCGTCATAGTGCGTAATTTGTTAAGTTTAGATTTTAAGCTTTATTTAGTGTTAACGAATTATCTGTTAAGTTTAGATTAGTCGCGATTAGTAGACTGCGGATTTTATATATTTATTGTAAAACATCAGAGAAATTAAAAAAATTTAACGTTGCTTACGTATTAGTTTCAACTTACTGAAATGTTTAAAGAATAACTTGTCTCTTGTTTGTTACAATTGATAAAGACAATTTTCATTTTGCATAAAGATACGCAGTCTAGCGATTAGGTATGAATAACGATATAGTTACAAAAATGGTTTAATTTTATTACAGGAAGATTCGCAATTTTTAATGGCAATTCGATATGTGTTCTATTCGCGGCCGTAATATATTTCAATATTAGAAATAATTGAACATAGAAATAAGCAAATGTTATATTTTATTAAGTTTCGCTCTAGATATCAGTAACAATGTAAAAGTGATGAGTCTACTTTGAGTCTATAATTATACGAATCACTGTATAACGTTCAACACATTTTACAAACCGTTCCTGAAAACCATAAATTTGTTAACGTTACAAGTGGACAATGGATCTTTCTGCAAATTATTATTACCATATGTCACTTTACAAAAATTGGAGGCGAAGTAAAATCTCCTTCGTGAACTAAAAGATTACATATTGTAAAAATGATGTAAAAACGCTAATTAGATCTTGTCAATTCATACAATTTTGAAATGCACATTTTTTCCTTTGTCAACTAAAAGATTAAAATGTAAAACCAAAAATAAAATAATAATAATAAATAATAAACTAGTAATATATAAAATTAATAAAACTAAAGTAAAAATACTATTAGTTCTCGTTAATTTATATATTTTCGTGCATTTAAAAAATGTGCATATGTCATTAATGCTGAAACATTCGCAGTATAGTTATTAAATATAGGTTAAGTCTGGGTTAAACTTAGATTCGGTTAGGACTTGGTCTACGGTTTCGAACAGATATCTCAAAAAACTAATGCAGAGCGACATTTTCGATAAAGGAAAAAGTTATTTCAAACATCAAGCTGTCATCATCTCAATTTTATCAAAATTGTAGTTAGAGGCCATTTTGTAAACAATTGTTCAATATTGGTGTATTATTATTTCGTAGCAGATTGCAAATGAATTGCGGAATACGTGCAAGAGAAACATTCTCTAGACTGCACAAATTGAAAATAGACGATCGATAGTTTCGCTCGGAAAATGGAAATTCCATTTGAAAGAAAAAGAATCCGATACCACAATACAATGTCGTCTGCGAAAGTGCTCTTTACACGGTCGTTGAACAAAATAAGATCACGACATTAGAGAAAGCTCTTCTGGAACTTCGTTTCGAAGCGAAGATGCACCCTCAGGCGAGTCCGGACATTGAAATCACCGAGGAAGCCGTGCATAGCGTGAGATACTCGGCAGACATGCATCCAGTGAAAATCCTTCGATTCATTTATGGCTGCGAGCATGCTTTTTATATCCTCCGAAGGCGCAGTCATCCGCGCAGCTGGAATATCCGAGTGGGGCGGTGCTAATAAACGGAGAACGTCGACTTTCAAAAGAAATCTTTATTCTTTGTAACATCGTTTGGCAAAAATATAAAAGTTCCTGCGACGAATGGCACGGTTATATTATTGTACAGTAGCTTTGCGATCGACCGTAGTCGGTTGTTGCTTTGATGTTAGCCCCCTTTACACTTTACAACTGCGTTGAAGTGTACGTGATACTGTTACAGAAATTACGCGGAGTTGTAATTACGGTATTTATTGGATAGACATTTTTTTTAAACATTTTTCAGTAACTCGTACATTTGCTCATAAGAAGTTTCTGCATTTATTTGCAGGAACACGTTTTCGTTAATATCGTTTGCTGTGTTTAAGTTGAATTTTTCTATGAAATTTAGTAATTTCTCGAATTATTTTATGCGGAAATTAAGCCAAATTTTAAATTACCATTACAACACGAATTGCTCATTTTTAGCATAAAGTTTACTTAGAAACTTTACATGCTTAACGAATACTTTTCACTAAAATTTAGGAAGCTACTTTGGAAAAGAATGGTAGAATTACACAACAATACATAATCGAGATAATGAGAGATATAAGATACTGCTGTGTCTTTTTG